TATTTATATATATATATATATATATATATATATATATATATATATATATATATATATATATATATATATTTGGCTGCGCCGGGTCTTAGTTGTGGCATACGGGATCTTCACTGCGGCATGCGGGATCTAGTTCCCTGACCAGGGATCGAACCTGGGTCCCCTGTGTTGTGAGCACGGAGTCTTAACCACTGGACTGCCAGGGAAATCCCTGGTGACTTCAACTTTTAAGGGGCAGGTAAAAGAGGCAGAACACCTTCCGCTCCACGCGAGCCTGAGAGGGCACAGCTGGAGAAACAGAGGCAGAATCCAGAAAGGCCAAATCCCAGACACTCGGGGAAGAGCTGGGCGGTGATGGATCCAGATGCTCCCGCATGCTGTACCAGGGTGTGACACAGTTTTCTTCCCCAGGTTGCTCTTCTGTTGCTGGTTTCCCTGGATGCTGAGGGCGGAGATGCAGTCTTAGAGGCTCTGGACATCTGAGAGAGACACAGAGCCTCCTCTAGCATCTCCTGACACAAGGAGCCCCCGAGTCACCCTGAGATAGAGATTCCCAGTAACACATCCAGAATAGAGACCCCCATTAGTCAGCCCTCGATCACTGAGGCCCCATTATTAACAGATTCCCTCATGATAACCCCCCAAATACAGACCCTATGTTACCCAGAAAGAGATTCCCTAAGTGTAGTACCTTCAGGCTAGTCCCAACCCCTCAGAGGAGACCCCCCCAATAACAGATTTCCACATCACCCCAAATGACGGTGACTTTCTCTACATAATGCTCCACAGCAGAACATTCCTGAGTCACTAGTCACTGGATCAGAACCCTTCCCTGTTAACAAAGACGCCCCCCCCACCATCAAGTCCCCTTGAAAGAAACACCTCCAAAGCAAGAGTAACAAACCCACATTTAATATCAGTCCCCTCAAGATGTTGTGACCCCCGTGGTCACCCCAAACCCCCTACACTGCAATCAGAGACTCCCTCCATTAACGAACCCCCCTGCTCTTACCCCTCAAGAAGAGACCCACATTAACCAGCCTACTGTCACCCCCAATTTACAGATACCAAAACAGTACTGGAAGTGCTAATTACAGGACCCCCAAGTCTTCCTATCCTCTGCACCCTCAAGAAACCCCCAGTGCCTTGTACGAAGCCCACCCCATGCGGCCCACAGCACCTGTGCTGGCCAGGCTCCCAGAAAATTCTCTATTTTTAAAGTAATTATTTCCCCCTTTGGGGGGACTCCAAAATTTGGAGGTCCCATTGTGGGACTCTGAGGATCCCAAACCCCAGAGTACATGTCCTAAATTCCCCTGTGCCCCCAAGTCCTAGAGCCCCTAGGAGACCCCAAAGCCCTAACTCCCAGGATCCCCAAATCATGGAATCCCCAAATCCCCAGGGAATCCCAAATTTAAAAAATCCAATCCCAAACCCCCAGGAAACCTCAATCATGGAGGTTCTTGTGCCTGGGATGGAAGAGATATGCATCCTGGGCCCCCAGGGCACCTCAAGCCCTATTCATAGGCACCAGAAACTCCAAACAGGAATTCTCATCCCTGGAAAGCAGAGGACTTCAATGCCCTGAATCCATGGATCTCAAGACACCCAAATTCCAAGAGCCCCAGCCCTAAGGGAACCCCAAATCCTCAAGCCTCCATCTCATACATGAGGGGCATCAAGGCCTTGAGGGGATCCCAAATCCTGGAGTCCCCATTTCAATCTACATTCTGGTCACAGGTCCAAAACACCAAATCTAAGTTACTGGCCCTGAAGGACCTCAGAGCACCCTGGCCAGACTAACAGCCCGACGGAGACCCTGAAGGCCCAGGGGTCCAGGGCAGACCTGGGGCCCTGAAAACCAAGGACAGCTCACGACTGCCCCTTCACTGCATGTCCCCAAACTCAGCATGACCCCTACCCCCTTCAATAAAGACGTTTCTACGGCTCTCTGTGTCGGGTCGGTGTTTAGGGAGTTACGGCCCTGCCTCTGTACCCTTGCTGGGTACAGCAATCTCGCAACCCTGCGGCTTTATATAGGATGGCCTAACCTGCGGGGAGTCCTTCCAACCATAGCGATTTTCCTGTGGCCGCCTCGGCTGCCCCTCCTTTCTGGGCTCTCCGCAGCGTGGACAGGTTCGGTTCTGGAGCTCTGATTGGTCGATGCCAGACGAAGACCCGTCTCTGAAGGGGCCCCAGTGGCTCAGAGGCCGAGAGGCACAGCCTGTCACCGAAGGAGTGCGAGGGGGCGGAACAACAGTGTGTGAGAGCGCCGATTGGGTGGAAGGAGGAGCCTTAGCGCCTTTGAGAATTCCCATTGGTCTGAGAATTCCTGCGTCGGCCATGTGGGTAGGAAGTGGCTGGGAAGGGAATGGGGGTGTTGAATTTGGATTTTGGAGGGGTCACTGGTGGACGGTCAGTTTGGGGCGCCGAGGGCGGAGATGGGGTCCAAGAGGGCTGAGAGTGGGGATCCGGGGAAGCTCAGATGGGAGTCCGAGGAAGCTAAAAGTGTGGGGTTCTAGAAGACAGAGTCGGGGGAACCAAGGGGTTCAGGGAGGGAAGGTGTGAGAGGGGTCAGGCTCAGGGTCAAAGGTCCAAGGGGGCTACAGGGAAGGGGCGCTCGGGAAGAGAAGTCTGAGGGGAGTCTAGCGTGGGGAGGATACAAGGAGACTGAAAATGGATGTGTCTGAGGAAGCTTAGATTGGGGGCACAAGCGTGCTCAGAATGGGGCGTCTGAAAAGGCTTGAGGCGGGAGGAGGGTCTATGAGGACCTCGAATATTGTTAGAGAGACGGGCTCGCGATTGCAGGTCTGAAGTTTTTAGGATGAGGTCTCAAATCAAGGTGTTTAAAGGGGGTCTGGGGTGCAGCCCTGGGGGATATGTGTGGAGCTCTTAAGAAAGGCTCCCAGTGGAGTCTGAGATTGTTCTCTGTAGAGGCTTGAGAGAGCAGACATGTGTAATTTGATGGGTATTTGGTGGATGGAGTTTGGGGGGAGTACTGTGGGTGCTCATTGTGTCTGGGCAGGGAGCCTAGGGGTGCATTGTGTGGCTTTTGAGATGCTGAGGACATCTAGGTTTTCGGAACCAAGTGGGTTTCACTAGAGGGCTGAGGTGAGGCCCTGGCCCAGGATAAGAGCAGAAGAAAGCTGGATCACAGTCTGAGGGTGGGAGGCTTGGCGACTTCAGCATGTTCTCCCCTCCCCACAGGAATGACCGGGTACACGGACTTGATGTCAATGGAGGATCAGGACGCCAGGGTTCCAGCTCTGGAACCATTCAGGGTGGAGCAGGTTGTCAGGACCGGGGGTGCAGAGGGTGAAGGTGGGAACTAGAGGGCGGGAGATAGAGTGGGGATAGGCAGGCTGACTGCTGGGTTTGTGGGCTGGGACTGCCCCCTCCCTCTCAATTCATCCTTACCCTCAGGGTCTAGCCCTACCCTCACCCCCACCTCCCCCTCCCCCAAATAGCCATTGATCCTTCGACTTAAGACCCTGGCCTGTCTGGGGACATCCTGAGCTCCGCTCCAGAGGAGGGGCTGCTCATGGATGGCAGCATCCCTGTGTGGGTCCAAAGGTCACACCTTCAGGGGGATCTCTCTATCCTAGGCACCACCTGTAATCTACTATGTCCCTGACTTCGTCTCCAAGGAAGAGGAGGAGTATTTGCTTCGACAGGTGACCTGTTTTTCCCCGCTTCCCAGAACCCTCTTGAACCCCCAGTTCTCGTGGGAGAGCCCGAAAGATCACAGTGAGGATCCTGGCAGGAGGGGGAGTGCCACCTGGCACCCATCCCTCACCACCTTCCCTATTCCTTTCTCAGCACCTGCTGGGGCCTGTCAGAAAGGGCTTTTCCCAGGAAGCTTAGGGGAAACCAAACTGATTCCTTTTTTTTTTTTTTTTTTGGCCACGCCACGCGGCTTGTGGGATCTCATTCCCCTAGGGATTGAACCTGGGCCATGGCAATGAAAGCGCCGAATCCTAACCACTAGACCACCAGGGAACTCCCCAAACTGATTCTTAGAAAGGTGGTGGTTATTATGGAGCTCAGACTCCCTGTGCTAAGACAGCCCTATCCGGCTACCTTAGAGAGAAGGAGGTTATAACATAGGCTGAGATAGCCCAGTTCACTCCCTTGAGATTTGGGGAATGAAGAATTTACAGTGTTCAGATTTCTGTGCTGAGATAACCGAGGCCTCAGAATGTTAAACGCTTCCCTGTGCTGATAGCTCAGCATAGACCCAGAGTCTTGGGAACAAGGTTACCAAGCACAGACCACCTGTGTTAGATAGCCCAGTCTGTACTCTATTCTTAAGGTCTGGGGAAAGGAGAATTTTACAAAGCTCAGAGTCTGTGCACTGGGATAGCCCTTTGCAGCCCCAGAGCCTTGGTTATAGAGCACAGATCTTCCCTGTGCTATCCCAACTAGTCCTGTCTAGTTTGAGTCCCAGGAATGAGTTAGCTCCAAAACTCAGACTCTCATACTGAGACAGCCGCTTCCAGCCCCATAACAATGAAGGAAATAAGGAGATTTCTTAGACTTTTTGAGATAACCCTTTTTAGACACTTGGGGTCTTGGCAGTGGAGAATTTTCAACGTACTCTCTTGGCTATACTGAATAGCCCTGTTGAGCACGTTTTCTCCCCCAGGCAAGAGGAACAAGGAGGTTCCAGGACTCAAGACTGTGCTGAGATAGCCCAGCAATCATGAAATTACAGAGTGCAGACTGTTTGCCGGGCTGAAAGAGCCCAACCCAGCCCAGAGCTCTGAGTAGATTCAGACCCTGATTGTGTAGCTCTGGTTCCCTCCCTCAATCCCTAGACACAGAGGGGCTTTGAGGCCAACGGCCTCCGCAGGGGGAAAGGGCAAGAATAAAATCCTGGGAACACTGTCTCGGAGAATGATCCCACAGACACTGAGATGACCCATTTCCACCCTAGGTGAAAACCCCTATGTTGGCCTGGGTGGGAGAACCAGAGAGGGTGGTCCTGGAAAAGGACTGACCCCCTTCCCACCTCCCAGGTCTTCAATGCCCCAAAACCAAAGTGGACCCAGCTCTCCGGGAGGAAGTTACAGAACTGGGGTAAGTGTCTCCGGCTGTGGGCATGGGTGATTTAGGGCTGGGGACTGGGGTAGGCAGCTCAGGTTGGATAGTCTCAGGACACTGAGGCGTCAGGGAGCCGGGGGGAGGTCCTTGAGGGTTCAAGGGGTCCCAAGGGCCAGGAGGATTCTCAGGGGTCAGTGGAGGTCCTGAGGGCTTAGGGATTTCCTGATGAGTTGGAGAGTATCTCTAGGGGTTTGGAGAAGTCAGGAAACCTTTGAAGGGTGGAGTGGTGATCTCCAAAGAGTTAGGGGTCCCCGAGGAGGTCAGAGTGCTACCAACCACTGGGATATCCCTAATGGGGGCTCCACATGCCAGAGCTCCTTGTTGGGTGCCCTCAGCACCCCATTTCCCTCCCCCAGGTGGGCTCCCCCATCCCCGGGGGATGGTTCCTGAGCGGCTGCCGCCGTGGCTCCAGCGTTACGTGGACAAAGTATCTGACCTCAGCCTTTTTGGGGGTCTCCCAGCCAACCACGTCCTTGTGAACCAGTATCTGCCTGGGGAGGGCATCATGGTAACCACACTCTCACCCAGACCCCCAGACCTCGGATCCCCCATGGGGCAGGGCATCATGTCGACCCACATCCACTCTCACTAAGCAGCCACATACCCCAACCAAACACTCACCTCCCTGTCCCCAGCTGGGGAGCCCCGCTTTCACCTGAGGGGGGGGGGGTGTGGACTCCTGCCCTGTCCAGCCCTGGTACCCACTCCCCAGCCCCACGAGGATGGGCCACTGTACTACCCGACTGTCAGCACCATCAGCTTGGGCTCCCACACCATGCTGGACCTCTACGAGCCTCGGCAGCCAGAGGATGATGACCCTACAGAGCAGGTGGGCCTTGAGACATTGCCCCAGCCGCTTGTGGGCACTCGGACACCCCATATCCTCTAAGAGGCCCCAATCCCACCTGCCTGCGGGGTACCCCTGATACCCTTCCAGACATCTTCCTCTGTCCCCTCATGGAGGGCACCCACATCCGCCCAGATGCCCAACCCATCTGCCTGCAGGGTGCCCCGGAAATCACGATATCCACGGATACCCCAGTACCCCCTTCTGCTGAGTGAATATCCTGACATCCTACAGATCCCCTGGCTCCATACATTCAGAGTGCTCCAATACCCCATGCAGGGCTCCCCAGTTCTCCAACAGACACCAGCCACTCAGGGTTGTCTCTGACATCCTGCCAGACACCCTGACTTTCAGTGGCCACTGCACAGGCACCCCAACACTGACTTCCTACCTCCCACTCCAATAATGTGATCTGTCATGCAGGACACCCCCAGATTCTCCTTGGCACCTCAACACATGACTCGCTGCTCAAGGGCCTCCAGATATCCTGCCTCCCCTCTGTGTTGCTCATGACAGCAGCTTCCCTGACCTCTTTCTTTGCTGTATGTCTGACACCCCAGTGTGCACAGAAACTCCCCTGGACACCCTGACACCTGCTGCTCCTTACGGCTGCCCTTTTTAATCCTACATGCTCCTAGATGCACTGACACCCCCTCCCACTCTGCTGGTGTCCTCAAAACATCCTGATACCCGCACATCCTCCCAGACCACACCTGCTCATCTCTTCCTCCCTTCCTGGCTTCAGCCAAGTCCTCAGCCCAGTTCCACTCAGTTTCCTGGGACCACTGGTCCCTCGGTCCCAGCCCCAGCTCCTTGCAGAGCCCAGCTGCAGTTCCCTTAGGCCTTTAGACACCCCCATCTGCAGCCTAGTCCCTGCCGAGGGGCTGCTGACACCCGAACACCACCCCGTCTCCACTTCCCTGGAAGCCTGGCCCTGGCCCCCGCGGGATTTTCACTCCAAAGCCTCGATCCCTAGGAGCACACTTGCCCCTCAGCCTTTGCCCCTGGGACTCGCTGACCCTCGCCCCCTGAACCCCCAAACCCGCTGACCTCTCGCCCACCCCACTCCTAACTTCTGGGGACCCGCTAACCTTCAACCCGCCCCGCAGACCCGGCCCCCGCCCCGGCCGGCCACCTCGCTGTTGCTTGAACCGCGCAGCCTGCTGGTGCTCCGTGGCACCGCCTACACGCGCCTCCTCCACGGCATCGCAGCCGCCAGCGTAGACGCGCTCGACGCCGCCTCCCTGCCGCGCAACGCAGCCGCCTGCCCCTCGGCGCAGGCTGGAGCCCGCCTGGTCCGCGGCACCCGCGTCTCGCTGACCATCCGCCGCGTACCTCGCGTGCTGCGCGCTGGCCTCCTGCTCAGCAAGTGACGCCAGGACCCAGGACCCGCTCGGATTCCCGAGCTCTCGCCTGCTCTGGACTGCTGGCGCCCTGTGGGCAGAGGCGGTCCACCCCCGGGTTATTTTCCCAGTACCTGTGAGGGAACCACAGGAAAAGGCCCCGTTCCAAATAAACCACCAACAAAACAATCTTACTCTGGTTTTGGACATTTGGGGGTGGGGGCCAGATGTTTGGGTTCCTGAGGGGCGCTGCGTCCGGGACCTTAGATGGATGGTGTGGGCTCCCGAGGTCAGATGCTCGGGTCACAGAGTGGAGAAAAACCCAGGGCTCTTGAGGGGCAGGGTTATATCTGGAAACCCCTTAGGTGGGTGGGGTGAGCTTGGGAGGTTCAGCTACTGGTCCGCTAGGGAGGAAGGAGTTAAGTGGTGCTACTATCACCTGAGCTGGGCATCAAATTACCTGGGTCCAGGTTCCTCCTAGAAAGAGGTGGAGCTGAGCCTGCCCCTGGGCTTCTGGCTGCCTCAGGCCTGGGTGAGTCCTACTGAGGAAGTCTGGGAGGATAGGAAAAGGGCTCCTACTGGGGATCCTCACTGACTCTCTGTCCTCAGGCTCCCCAATATGGCCCTGCCCCCACGCCTGGGCCCTACACCCCCCTCAGAGCCCTTCAGCCACCCGCCTGGAGCCCCTAGGGAACTGAACGCATCTGGATGCACCATCTGCTCTGCCTCTGGAGAGGAGAGAATCAGGTACGAGCTGGGGCTTTTGAAACTGTGGTCCCAAAAGGGTGGAGGCAGTAGCAGGGGCCTTTTGAGGGTAGGAGGTATTGTAGCTAAGATCACCTGGGGACATGAGAGAGGTAACTGGGGACAGGGGTAGGGTAGGGTGGATAATGGGCACCTAGGCTCACCCAGGGGCCTGTCAATGTCCCCCCCACCCCCATCCCAGGTCAGAACAGGCCCAGAAGCTGGGGCAGGACTCCTTGGACCCTCCTGAGCCCTTCCAGGGTGGGCCGAGGGGCACTGAGCCTGCTGCTGGCCTCCCCAGATTGCCAACGCCCCCTTCTCATGAGGACTCAGCTGGGGCCAAACACCGTGAGGTGAGCTGAGGTGAACTAGGCCCCTGTGCCAGCCCCTACCTCCTGTCTGTCTCCCAGGGTCTGGCTTCCACACCGGGGATGAGGTGATGATTCTGGAAAAGTGTTGGGCATCTGTGTGGGGAGGGATGCTCTAGACAAGATTCTTTAACTATCACTATTCAGTATTTTACCAACTGAGAGAGAATTCTTTTATCATTGGCCCTGGTGTAGGGGGCTATCCAGCTCCAACACCCTCTCCCTCTCCAGAGCCCCAGGCCCTATACGTACAAGTTTCTAGGAGCCTTGAAAACCTGGAGAATTTGAACTAGAGGTTCTCAGGCCTGGCTCCACTGGGAAGTTTCTCTAGGTGGGTGCAGACCCAGAGGTGAACTCTGCTGCAGAGAAGCATCCAGGAGGCAGGAGCCTGGGTGCAATGGGTGCGGGCCACGTCTTGGTTGGCTCACTGGCTCTGACTCAGCCCCCTGTGTTCCCCAGTGCCCCATCTCTGGCCGGGAAGTATTGGAGGCTGAGCAGGACAGCCTGCATCTTTGCCTTCTGGGCCTGGGCCTCCGGCTGCAGGACCTGGAGCAAGGCCTGGGGCCCTGGGCATCAGCCCAGAGCAGGATGGTCCAGCTGCAGGTGGGCAGTGGGAAGCCAAGATGTGGGAGGGTGGGCAGGGCCTCAGGAGTGGGTGCCAGCTTCCCAGGGTGGGAAATGGGTTTATTCCATGTTCCAGGTGTCTGGACGGCAGAGGGGGTGGGGATAGTGACTCCAGGTCTCAGGTCTCTGGTGCCCCTGCTGTGTGTGTATGGAGGCAGGGGGTGGGGATGGGCTGGTGTGGTGTTGGTGATGTCCAACCATGTGTACCCAGGCCCTACAGGCAGACCTGCGTGGGGCAGCTGAGCGTTTAGATGCACTGCTGGTGTTCGGTGAGGGGCTGGCACAGCGGAGTGAGCCTCAGGCCCGGGCATCCCTGGAGCAGGTCCTGAGGGCCTTCAGAGCCCACCGAGACAGCATCTTCCGGCAGCTGTGGCGGCTGCAGGCCCAGCTGGTCAGCTACAACCTGGTATGGCCCACCCTGGCGGTCCCTGGCTCAGGCGTCGATCCCAACCCTCATGACCTCTGTCCCCTGACCAGGTGTTTGAGGAGGCCAGCACACTGGAGGACTTGGAGGTCGAGGGGGACTCAGACGGGCCAGGACCTGGTGGGATCTGGGGGCCCTGGGCACCCAGTAGCCTCCCCACTCCCGCAGAGTTGGAGTGGGACCCGGCGGGGGACGTTGGGGGCCTCGGGCCTTTGGGGCAAAGGACAGCCTGGACACCAGGGACTCCCTGTGAGCTGTGTGGCCGCAGGGGCCCCCAGGGCAGGGGACAAAGCCTTGAGGTGAGAGCAGGTGGGGTCACCTCCCCCCAGGCACCCAAGGGACCCTCTGTGTGTCTCCTAGCAGGGCCCTTTTTCCCTTTCGAGGAGGTCTTCATGGCTCTGTCTCTCCCGGTGTCTCTTTTGCTTTTGGTGTCTCAGTGGTCTCCTCCCTCCGTCCCTCTGCCTCTCTTGGCCTCCAGGTGTCTCTGTTGTACCTATATTTCCTCATTTCCTCTCACTCTCCCCCTCACTTACCCCACCACAGCCACACTAGCCTCCTGGCTCTTCAAATATTCCAAATACACTCCCATCTCAAAGCCCCCAGAGGCACACCGAGCTCACCTCCTCACTTCATTCCATCCAGTCTCTCCTCAAATGTTACCTCTTCAGAGAGGCCTGCCCTGGCCTCCAAACATTATCACTCCTTATCCTCTTATTTTATTTCCTAACAGCACTTACCACATCTTGACATTATACATTTATTAACTTATGGTCTCTCTCCTGCTAGAATATAAACTCAATGGACTTTGCCTGTTTCCATGCTCACAGTGTCCCCAGCTCCTAGAATAGCACCTGGCATGTAACAGATGCTCATTAAATATTTGTTGAATGAATGAATAAATAATGTCTCTCTTCTCTTGGTTTCTTTGGCTCTGCCCCTCTCTTCATCTCTCCCTGAGATCTCTCTCTTCCCCCAGAATCTAATCTCTGTGACACTTCCCCCGTCTTGGCCCTTCCCCAACTTTGTGTCTCTTTGTCACTGATTCTCCAAGGACCCCACTCCTCTCTCCCCCCACAGGACATGCTCATGTCAGGCCTCAGCCACCGGAAACACTTAACAGGTCACCGAAGACGGTCCCTGCTCCGGAAGTCTCAGGTGAGTTGGTCCTTGGCCAGGTGTATCACTCAGGAATGTTGATGGCAAGTGACAGCAACCCAACCCAAATTGAATTACACACAAAAAAGAGGATGCTATTTTTTTTCATGTAACTGAAAAGTCCAGGTGGTGTTGAATTCAAGACCTCAAATATTGTCAGGGCTCAGTCCCTCCCTGTCTTGGGCTCTACTTTTCCAAGGTGGATTCCTTCTCAGCAAAATGGCTGCCCCAGCAGCTACACACTCACTTCCCACTGGCTTACCCACCCCAGGAGGAGGGTACCACCGACCTACGGCAGCCAAGTCCTAGGGCTGACTTCTGCTTCCCCAGCTTGGGTCATGGCCTACACCCTGAACCAATCACAGTAGCCAAGCTGATGGAGGGCTCTGGTTGGCCAGATCTGGGTCACATGCCTCACCATGGGGGTGGAGTTTTGAGTTCAGGAAAGTAGGGAGGTATGATACCCTTCTCCCCAAATTGAACCACTGTTACCAGGAAAAGGGAGACTGTTTGGAGGGCAGGCACTGACAGACATCCACTATACCTGGAGATATTCCAAGTCCATGTGGGGTCTTGGGGATGGAGGGGGCGCTAGGAAAGGAGGAGAAATAAGCCCAGCTCTGTAGGTCTGTGGTAGTAAGGTAAAGACCACATTAAATATCACTTCCACCCATTCTACTGCTGGCTGCTCTCTACCTTTAGGACAAGATGAGGCAAGCATCTCCCAAGGTCCAGGATGTGATGCTGGAGGTAGACCCTGGGTGAGATGCCTGGGAGGTGGGTCTGGGGGTGTGGGGGGTAGGGCTCATGGTGGCAGCCCACCCATACATTGAACACTGCATTTCCCTTTGCAGATCCCCCACTCCTGCATCCAGGCGGCCCCTGACCTTCCTCCTCCTCCTCCTTTTCCTTCTGCTGGTGGGTGCCACATTGCTCCTGCCCATGTCAGGGGGCTCCTGCTGCTCTCCTGCCCGACTGGCCAGGACACCTTACCTGGTGCTCAGCTATGTCAATGGTCCTCCCCCAATCTGACTACACAGTCCAGACATATGTAATAAATGGTCACTGTCAAAGGATGTGTCTTAGTCTGTTCGGGCTGCTATAACAAAATAACATAGACTGGTGGCTTATAAACAATAGAAATTGATTTTTCACAGTTCTGGAGGTTGTAAAGTCCAAGATCAAGGAGCCTGTAGATTCAGTGTCTGATGAGGACCCATTTCCTGGTTCATAGACAGCTGTCTTCTCACTGTATCCGCACACAGAAGAAGGGGCAGAGAATCCTCTGGCGGGGGGGGGGGTGTCTCTTTTATAAGGGCACTAATCCTTTTCATGAGGGCTCCATCCTCATGACCTAATCACCTCCCAAAGGCCTCACCTCCTAATACTATCACTTTGGGGGTTAGGATTTCAACATAGGAATTTTGAGGGGACACAAACATTCAGTCTATAGCAGGATGTGTGGGAATATTGGGTGCTTGAGTACTGAGAATCTTGGGTATGGCCCTGGTACATCTGGACAGCCCCCTCCACAGATCCCTCTGCCTTGAGCACAGAACATGGAACTGAATCAGCCCATCTTGGGTTGGGTTCCCCCAGACCCTGAGACAAAGATTCAAGCACAGGTCGTTTTTTAGGAAGTTGATCCTAGGCAAATGGATAGGGGAATGGGAAGTGAGCCATGGAAAGGAGTTAATGAGCTGGTTGCTGCTCTGGGCACCTAGAGTGCCATCCCCCGAGGGACCTCTGGGAGACTGTGGGACACACTCAAAGTTGTTCCACCCAAGAGGTGAAGAAGTTGTGGCATATGTGTGCCAGCTCCCATCTCTCATTGGTTAAGGATTATTCCTGGAGATATTAACTCCCCAGCACATCCAGCCTCTCCTGCCTGTAAACGACCCTCAGGCAAAGAGGCACAGGTGCTTGCTACAGGATGCTAGAGGAGGGGTGCAGGTGTGCAGGAGGGGTGCAGGTGACATTGGTGCTGGGTTGCCGACAGCACTTGCTATAGCCCCTGACCTGCATTCATCCACGTGCTCTGTTCAAACACTCCACGTGGTGGGCTCCCAGGCTGGCCATCACTGATGCAGGACTGTGAAAGCCCCCTTCTCCCAGGGCGTCATGCTGAATTGCCAGGCCTCAGTCCTGGAGCCTAGTCCGCAGCCCCAGGTGTCTAAGCTCATCCTCTCCTCAGAGCTTAAGGTATCAGGACAAGGGGTAGAGCAGAACCAGACTCAAGAACAGAGGCAGGAGCCCTGTGCTAGGCTCCTGGATGTGCACTTAAGACAGATCCCTTCTCCTTTAATTCTCACAACCACCCGATGATGTGGCCCCGCTTAACAGAATGGGAAACTGAGGCTCTAGACGGGAAGCCACCAGCCTGAGGCCACACAGGGAGCAAGTGACTGAAGACAAATCTGCACTGATTTAAAAAGAAATGGGAATTTGTTTTCGTGGGTAACTGAAAAGTTCAGGACTATAAGCACAGCTGGATCCAGAGGCTCAGTTCTTTCCTCTGTTTTGGCTTCACTCCTATGCAAGTGATCGCCAGAGTGCCCCTCAAAACCTCCAAGCCTACATCCCACCAATTTAGCAGCCAATAGGAGAGTTACTCTTCCCTTACAGTTCCAACCAAGCACCCAAAGCCAGTGTCACATACTTCACTGGGGGCTGCAGTCAGCCTTGACTGAACCATGTGTACTGAAAACAGGGGGAGAAGTTCTCCAAAAAAAATCAGGGAGCTGTTACCAGAAGGGGGAATGGACACTGATGGAAGGGGGCAGGAAGCAGCAGATCCTGGGAGTGACCCCAAGTTCAGGGAGAAGTCAGGATGCAAACTTAGATCTGTTCTGTTTCAAATGCCGGGCCAGGTCCTGTCCCTGAGGAGGCATGGTGTTCCTGGGGTTACCAGCAAATGGGACAGGCAGAGTCTTGGCAATATTGACCCAACCGATTGGGTAATGGAGCAAATCCATGCCATTCATTCATTCATTCATTTAATATTGACTGAGTCTGCTATGAACCAGGTCCTGGTCAAAGAGCAGGGCTATGATCGTGAACAAGTCAGGCTAAAATCCTGGTCCCTGCGGAGCTGACATTCTAGTGGGAGAAAGCAACAGTAAGTAAAAGAAACAGGTAAAATATGTAACAGGTCAGAGAGTGGTTAAGTGCTAAGGAAAAAACTAACGTGGGCAAAGGCAAAGGGGGAGGGGTACAATTAGGATGGTTGAAGAAAGAATCAGGGAGACAATTATATCATTATGCTATAATTAAGTCATTATACCAAATTGCAGTAAGAACACAAACCAGGGGGACTCCTAGAGGGGTGCTGTCCAACAGAAATATAATGTGAACCACAAATATAATTTTAAATTTCCTAGCTGTCACAGTAAAACCGTAGAAACAGGTGAAATTAATTTTAATTTATACTCTAACGCAACATATCCAAAATATTATCATTTCGATATGTAATCAATATACAAATAATGAGATATTTTACAATCCTTTTTGCTTATTAAGTCTTTGAAATCTGGTATGTGTTTTATACTTTATGGCACATCTCAATTCAGATGCTTAATTTTCAACGCATAAAATGAAATGTAGTGCTACCAAAACAATACAGCTGTGTTTAATGACAAACTATTTTACACTGCTACAGTTTAAAATTTTAAGTTACTTAAAATTTATAAAGTTAAAAAAAATTCCCCAGTTGCACTAATCACATTTCAAATGCTCAAGTCCCAGATACCATACTGGACAGTACAGGCCTGGAGGAAGAGCATTCTAGGTAGAGGGGACAGCAAGTGCAAAGGCCCTGAAGTAGAAGTGTGCCTGGCATGTGGGAAAGCCAGTGTGGTTGGAGTGGGAGAATGGAAGGAGGTAAGGTGAGAGAGGCAGTAGGGCTAGATCAGGGGAGGCCTTGTGGACCACAGTGAGGACTTCTAGTTCGAGTGAGATGGGCACTGGAGGGGCTTTTGTTGTTTTCAGCTTTCATTCTGATATATATATATATATATATTTTTTTTTTTTTGCGTTACGCGGGCCCAGAATCTGTAAGGGAGAGCAGATGTTATTTCAAAGGTCAGAAATTTAATTTAAATTGATTGCTAAATCTGCGAAGAAGGTATGCATGAGAGATTTATAAAGTCTCAAAAGAGACAGGCTTTACTCTTCTCAAATCTCTTGTAAAAATGTATCTTCTGTGTGAAGATCTCTAGTGCACAAAGAGGAATGACCAGTGATATGACCATTGTCTTTTTTGTTAACTTTTTGTTTTGTTTCAAATTACTGCAAAGCTTTAAGACGAATACAACAAACCCCCATATACCCTTTACCCACATTCACATAAAATGTTAACATTTTACCCCATGGGCTTCACCATTCACGCTCACTAATATATATGTGCACATATTTTGGAACCATTTGAGAGTAAGTTGTAGACATGATACTCTTAATTCCTAAATACTTCAGTGTATAGTTCTTAAGATCAAGAGTACAGATCTTATACAACTAGAGTACAGTTATTGGAATCAGGAAATTTAAAAACTCAATTCAAGTCTATTATTAACCCACAATCCATATTCCAAGTTATTCCCAGCCCCTTAAGTCCTTTATAGCAATTTTCTTAGATCAGGAGATTCTTTTAACAGACAGGTTGAGAAGCACTGACCCTGTGCCTTAGAAGAGTGAAAAACACAGCAGGAGACACAGAGATTACCAACGGGGGGGCGGGGGGGGGGCGGGGGGCTTTAACGTCAGCACTGAAGTGAGGTGGTTTATTTGGGATGTGATCCCAGGAGGCAGGAGTTAGGGAGTGGGGAGAGTCAGACAGGGCAGGGGAAAATCAAAAAACGTGTTCATGGAGTGATAGCCACTGTGAGCAACTGGGGCTCAGTCCCACGGGGGAACCCTGTAGAACACATTTCATTTGTCCCACCAGACAACAGGCACTTATCCAGTGACTGCTGTCCCCCACAGGCTGTAGTTGCTCCGAAGGGTATTAACCCACCCCCATAATTCCCCGAAAGCCCTCAAGCAGAGGAGCAGAGATGCAGGGGCTCAGAGCAGGAAGCTGGCTGCCTCTTGGGAACCCTCCTCTGCAGCTACAAGTGGGGTTGGGACATCATCATCTGCTGCCACATGTATTTAATTCACTGTATCATTATAACAGCCACAGAAGGGAGGCACTATTAGTATGCCCATTTTGCAGATAAGGGTGTTGAGGCACAAAGAGGTTAAATCACTTGCCTCCGATCATGTAATCAGTAAGTGTTGAAATTGCGATTCAAACCTAGGCATTCCAGTTCCAGGGTCCATGCTCTTAATCAGTGCTCACTCACCTACAACCTCCTCCCTCAAATCAGGCAATCCCTTCCCTCATCCTCTCTACCAGACAAACTCCATTCCTCTGTAATGCCCAAGTGAATGTCTCCCTTCCTGACCGGGATACCCAGCCCCAGTGAGAACTCAATCATTGCCTGCAGCCCTGCCAGAAGCTCCCATCCTGGAGCTTATTAAGGCTCAAGATCTTGGAGCCAGGAGTGAGCAGGAGGAAGAGGAGGGAGATGCAGGTGGAGATGTAATGGGGGCTGGATGGGTAGGACTTAACCCCTTAAGCCACTTTCAAGACTTTGGCTTTTACTCCAAAATGGAGTCAGGCCAGAATTAACAGCATCACTCTGGCGAAAGAAACTGAGGCAGAGAGACGAACATGGCCGTGGAGGCCGAGTACCAACCAGAGACAAAGCTGAAGTAGAAGCCACTTGCGTGAACAGCACAGCCTGTGATCTGCAGCACTCCAGGCCCCAGCATTTCTCCCCTCGCCCTCTCCAGGCCTTTACCCACACTGGTCCCCCTGCTTAGAAGCCTATCCCTACATTCTGGCAAACACTTTATAATTCTTTAAACTGCACCCCAACTTTATTACTATTTGGTTTCCTGCCTCCCCCACTGGGATTGGGGCAGAGACTGTGTTTCTCTTCTGTCCGTACTACCTTTGATCTGAGGTCTGGGTTCCTTTCCTGAGGTCCTCCTCCTCCTCTCTAATGCATTCAACTGCTTTCCACTTATTTAACCGACATCAGTGCAAATACAGCTGAGGGCTGCAAAATGCAGTACTCCAGAGAATATCTAGGGCAGGTCTATGGGGCGAGGTATGCCTGTGGCCTTTGGGTCCATCTCTCCTCCCCAACCCCTCAGCCTTGCTAACAAAAATCCCAGCTTGTAGCTGGGGCTGGACTCCTCAGCCAGGTTTGAGGGCCCCACTACTAACTCAGGGGTTACCAGCTAGGTCTCCTCAGCTCCACTATTCCTCTCCTGCCTCACTACCCTCCGTTACGGAGTCTACTGGGGCTTCTTTGGGGTCAAGCCAGGCTGGGTCCCCTCCATGGATCTGCCCAGGAGAGAGAACTATGCTGCTCCAACCAATCTGCCATTCTAGAGGGCTCCAGAGTGGAAGAGACAGCTCCCCACACCCATCCCTTGCCAGAGGGTCACTTGTTGGTGTGTGTGTGTGTGTGCCTCTTCAAAAATCCCCCCAAACATTAAATCTTTAAGACCACCAACAGGGAAGTAAGCACATCCCCAATTTTATTGCCTTTTTGTCCAACAGTCCTGAGCAGGGAAAGGGGCAGGAATCGGGAGTCCCCCTCAGAAGTATCACGTAGAGGTCTTGAGGGCGTCTTTAATTGATAAGCTGGGGTGAGAGACTCCCTACCCGCTTCCTCACCGATCCTAGTTTGTCACAATGGGCGAAAGATTTTTCTAAGGGGATTTCAGGCTTCTCACCGGCCACCAGGGCATCTTCCCAAACTCCTCAGCAAAAAAGTCTGCTCTCCTCATAGTTACAAAGAAGGGAGTCTCCTTGAGGAGCCAGGAGTGGTATGTTCTCCGGGGTCTAGAGAAGGCCGTGTCTGTCTCTTTCTGTCCAACAGCGGGGCGTCCTGGCTCCCCAAGGCCTTCGGGTAAGAAGCTCTCAGCTTGACAGTCCAGCCAGCCGGCGACCCAAGCTGCCCCAAGCCCTCATGGGTAATTTTGACCCGTTACCATACATCGGGCAAAGCCGGGCATCTCTCGCCATCGCACCCTACGTCGCCAGGAGGGCTCTTCAATTCCCCCAATCTGTCGATCTGGTCTCTCAAGACCTCTCACCTTCCATCAGGCCGGTCCCCCGGTCCCCCCACGCAGTCAGGCGGGCCCCCGGTTCCCCTGGGCCACCGGGTGACGGTCACCGTCCATCCGGCGCGGTCTTCGGTACCCCCATGCTGTCCAGCGGTCTCCTTGGGCCGTCACCTTCGTCAGGTGGGATCCCTGGGGCCTCCGCGCCGGGGGATTCCTCAGTCGGGCCCCGCGTACTCACAAAGGCACCCATGGCCGTGGCGTGACCCGAGCGTAGCAGCTGAAGCTGGCGCCGTCCGCGGCGGTACAGGTACTCGATGCGCAGTACGTCGCAGCGTGGCAGGCGGGCGTGCTGCCGGAACTCGGTCCGCACCCGCAACTCGGCGCCCGGCTTTCCGCGCCCGGCGCGCAGCAACTCGCGGTACAGACTCAGAACTTGTCTCTGAAGCCGGCTGTGCCGGCTCATGGTAGCAGCTGGGCCGCGGGCTCACACAGCGAACGCCCCAGCAAGTGGCGCGGCAGCACAGTTTGGAGAAGCGGTGAAACGCGGCAACTGACGCTTCCGCCACCCGCCCCCAACTTTGCGGCGCCGTCGCGTCCCATAGGTTGTCGCTGCTTCTACGTCACAATGTTGTGAGTAAGGGGCGGAGCTGCTGGTTCACTGGCCCGCCCCACAGGAAATCAGTGTCCTTTAGAGGACGGTACTTCTGAGGGCCTGGATGAGTGGGCTGCTAGGCGCTGAGGCTCTTAGGTTTGGGGTCGGAAGGGACCAGGGGATCCTGACCTGACTCTTGGGTCCTGCGAGTGGAGAGAGCTAGAGGTTGGAGCCCTTGTGTGCCTCAGGGCTCTGGGGGCACTGGGAGAGAGAAGACAGGCACAGGCATGCTTTTGTCCTCAGTTATTTATTAAAGCAATCTCGGGAAGCTCCATGCGTTCCCACCCGCAGAGCAGGTGTGCGTCGAGGGTCCCAACCTTGGGGACGGGCAGAGGGACGGGGTCACGCGGTGAAGTGTTGGGTCACACCCGGCAGGACAAGCTTCTCGGTGCTGAGAAGATGGCGTGAGAGATGGTGTGGGCTGTAAGCCCCCAGACGCAGCCTGTAGCTCAGGGAGTTGGGCTCTTAGCGCCCTCTACCGACATGAGTCGGGTCCGAGGGTAGGAGAGGGAGCGGCCTCCCCAGCTGTTCAAGTCCAGAGTCCAGCCCACATGGCACACTTCGACTAAGCTGGCACCCCGATGTCCAGGGAGTAGTATCAGGTCAGCCTCAATTCCGTTAGAGTCCCCGCAGGCTACGCGGAGGCGTACTCGTAGCGCTGGGAGGCCCGCAATGCCACGACCCCCTCGGACCCTACCAGCACCCGGAGCGTGGGGGGGCCGCTGGACAATAACCCGGAACCCTCCGCCCAGCGTGCGACCACGACCCAGCACACTTGGGCGGCGAGCTGCGCTGGGCGTGGGTTCTTCTCCTAGAGGGGAGGCGGGTCAGGGACTGGGGAGAGGGTCGGAGTTTGGGAGTCAGACGGGAGATCTGAAACCGCTATGAATCCCCTCGGTGTCTCTATCAGAAATACATATCCAGGTCTTTGCTAGAGGAATATGGTCTGGGATTTGCTTTAAAATCCTCCAGCACAAACAAAACAAAAAGTGAGAGGAGGGGCTTCCCTGGTGGCGCAGTGGTTGAGGGTCCGCCTGCCGATGTAGGGGACACGGGTTCGTGCCCCGGTCCGGGAAGATCCCACATGCCACGGAGCGGCAAAGAGTGAGAGGAAAAGAAAGCAAGAGCGGCAAAATATTTGTAACTGTAATGGGGTTTCATAACACTATTCTCTCTTCTTTTGTGATGCTTGAAATTTTCCGTAATAAACACTTTCTTAAAAGGGAGATTTAGAGAGAGAGGAAAAAAAAAGCCTTTGGATCCTGTCACATCTCTCTCACCTGTGTCTTCATAATCTAGTAACTGTTTACTGAGCACTACTCTGTGCCAGGCACTCTTTCAAGTGCTTTAATATTTTATTTATAAGATAATGTATGACACAGTATGTTAATAAAATATGCAATATAATATGATGCTATTGATATTTTAATATATTGTCACCTAATTTATATTATTTTATGTAATACATTTATTTGAAAATAGTGAATATTTAAAAGTTTGTTTTTAAAATAGTGAATCTCCTGTTGCTCTCCTGCTTCCAAGTTCCTTGGGGAGCCATGCATCCTCCACCCTGGCATCTCTCCCTGCTGGATTTCCAGCCTCTCCTTGTCTGGCTTCTAACCATCAGCACTTAAACATCCCTGAGTTTCTCCCATCTCAAAATCATCATCATCATCATCATCATCATCATCATCATCATCGTCATCATCATCAATTCTAAGATACCTTTGCCCTCTGGAACTTTCTAGCTGATCTTTATTCTCCCCTTTCTGCATGGACAATTTGTCAAGATAGGCGTCTATACCTGCTGTCTCCAGCTGTCTCATTCCTCAACCCTGCAATCCAGGAGCTGTGTTGTGTGATAAAAGGAGACTGTGTTCCTGACTTGGAAACAAACTGGTTATACTTGGATTGTTCATGAGAAATAAGCTTTTATCAAGTTTAAGCCACTGTAATGTTGAGCCTCTGTTATAGCATTTGGACGTAGAGCCTACTTAATATAGATGCTAACACAGAAAAAGGAAAAGGCAGGGATGAAAGATGGAAACTTGAGTCCTAGTGACATTATTTGGGTCCCTGAATCCAGCCATGTCTGAAGGCCTCAACTTTACACAAATAAAAGTATATAAATTCCCTGTTGTATTTAAGATAGTTGGCATCATTTTCTATCAGTTACAGCTGAAAGTCTTACTGATATGGTGTGTTTCAGGGAACATTTTACGATGAGGTACGGGAGACTCTGTGCCTACCCACCCAGGCCTGGAGACCTCTCTGACAGGGATGTCGCATCCACTGTGGAAGCAGCCAGCCACAGTGGTCCTGGGATACACAGTCTGTGCCATCAAAGATGAGGCCAGGGTCACACTCACAGCCCTCATGGCATTGGGTAGAACAGTGAGCAGGGCTGAGAGGTGGGACACAGCCCCCATGACAGGTCCATGCACAGATGCTGTAGTGGCTTCAGGTGGACAAGTCAGGGCTGCAGGTGGATGGCAAAGGTGAGTGCTTGGGACTCAAGTTTCCTTTTCCAGCCCTGTTGCCTCCTGCATCCAGTCAGGCTAGCTTCCCATTGGTGTTTTCTAACCTCCACAACTTGCAGTTACAGTTTCCTTTCCCTTAGATGCCCCTCCCACACACTCTCCAGCCCATTCCATCTATGTCAGGTCTTCTCTGATCTCCATCAGGAGAGAGGGCTCTTCCTGCCAGCCCACAACCTGTCCGGCATGCACCCCAGACCCAGCCAGAGCACTCACAGCAAAGTTGGGGACCCCTCCAGGGTATCATGGGGATCCCAGCCTCCTGGTGAGCCTGCAGTGTAGGCTGTGGGCCAAAGGGGAGACAGATAGTGAGAAAAAGAGACAGGCACAAAAAACAGAAAGACCTGGTTAAACTGCTGTCCCTCCAGGTCTGGCTGCTTCTTCAAACGTAGTCTTAACTCTTCAAGTCCCACCCTTCTTTACCTGGCCCCCACTCACCCAGGCCTGAACTTCTCCATTGGTCCTCCAGCGTCCGTCCTCTGGTGGCCCAAATCTGAGTTTCCAGAGCTTCACCCACTATCTCCAGCCAGCCCCGCACACTCACAGAAGAATTCAGGTGTCCTCCAGGGCCCAGGCGCACGCCCAGAGCCTGACAGGTGACAATGTAGGCAACCAGGGCTTGGTCGACTGTGCGTCGGACGCCATGGGGCGCACACGTAGGGCAGGCATCCCCGGCGGTAGGCGAGGAGGCGGCGGCAGCTGTGAATGAAGGGCGGTGATTCCAGAATTCCATCCGCCTCCAGGGAGGGAATGCGGGAGGGGAGAACAGTCAGGGAAGGGGGTAGTGGCTGTCAGCAGACATTCTTGGAAATGTCAATGAAGGATCTGAGAGGGATCAAGGAGAACATTCTGGTTGGTTAACGGGGGTTTAGTCATTAAGGATCAAAAGAGACTACAGTGGGAGGTCAGTTGGAGGCTAAATGGAGGGTCAATAAAGAACCCAATGAGGAATCAATGGTAGAGTGACTGGATGGTCAGAATTAATGAGGGGGTCAATGGAAGATCAATGAGGGGTAAAAAGGATAATTAGGGAGTCAGTAGGGAGGGGTCAGTGGGAGATCAAGGGGAGGATCATGAAGAGGACAAATGGAAGAAGTGGATGGACAAATCCATGCATCACTGAAGGTCAAGAGAAGGCTTAGATGCCTTTGGGTGGCAATGGGAGGACTCAGCTGGTGGGTAAATTCGGGTGGAGTCAGAAGGTGAGTCGATGAATTAATAGGACACTTTGAAAGTCTCAGTGAATGAGACAATGAGTCAAAGAGGTTGAATTAGGATAACAGAAAGGTCCAAGAATTCAATGGAGGAGTCAGTATCACTAGGAAGCGCAATGGGAAGCTCCACAGGGGTGTAAATGGGGCCATTAATGGGCCAGTCATGGATCCCTGGGAGTGTCAGATGGCTCAGTACAGATCAATGGGGGAAGGGTGTGGGGTGGGGTCAACAGGGCACTAAGTAGGGTTAATGGGCAAGGGATATAACAATAGAAGCATCACTTGGGGAGGCAATGGCTTAAGGGGATGTTAAATGGGGAGGTGAAAGGGAAGGTCAATGGGGAGGTCAGGGCTGAGCCTGTGGGTTAAAGGGGAGTCAATTAGGGAGTCAATTAGGGATTAAATTGAGGACTCAAAGGAGAGTTAATGGGAGGGTAATAGGAGTCTCAAGGGTGGCAAATAATGACGGGTGAGAGTCAGTAGGAAGGAGTCAACAAGCAAGTCAATGAGGAGAGGGGGGGTCAGTAGCCATTGGTAGGGGATGAATAGGGCCGCTAGGGAATTGGAGTAGATATCTTTCAGGACCAGTGGGAGAGTCAATAATGGGGGCACCAGCAGGACAAAGGGGTTACTATGGGTTACCTGAGGGTAGTGGGGACAGTGAGGGGTGGTGGGTCAGTGTGGGCCTTAGAAACCTCACCCAGATGTGGTTGAGATCTTTCGGACTCATGTCCAGTATCAGACTGGCTGAGAGGGTCTGGCCCTTGGTGCAGCCACGTGGCTGCAGAAAAGGGATCAGATCCAGACTGAAGGGGTCAAGGTTGGCATGGGCTATGCCACAGAGACCCACCAGGCGGTAGACACAGGAGCCCGGGGATTCATAGCGGGCTCCTCAGAATGTGCGGAAGTGGAAGTCTCCAGTGGCAGTGGAGACCAGTGGCTCCTCCAGGACAGTGGGGCTGGGTGGGGACTAGGCTAACAGGCAGTGATGCCAGCCACCTGTGGCAGCCTTGCAATGACCACAGCACTTCTCAGGCCATCACTGGGGCATGTTGCTTAC